GTGTGTGTGTGTGTGTATTAGAGGCCCAGTGCATTAATTCATACATGGGCCAGGGGGAGGGGACATGGGCAGTTGGCCGGCCTGCCTGGTGGTCAAACTCCTGGTCGAGGTAACAGTTTTCATATTAGCCTTTTATTATATAGGCTATATACTGAGTGGCCAGATTATTATGTGTTCAGAGATCATAATAATCTGGCCACTCAGTGTATATTGTGAATAGAATCCTACTTATAAAAACAAATCAGCTTGAATTTCTGAATAATCAATAAGATTCAAAGTGACAATTTTCTATTGCAATCTCATTATTTTTTTTAATATATTTTATTGATTTTTCACAGAGAGGAAGGGAGAGACATAGAGAGATAGAAATGTCAATGAGAGAGAAACATCGACCAGCTGCCTCTTGCACACCCCCTACTGGGGATGTGCCCGCAACTCAAGTACATGCCCTTGACCGGAATCAAACCTGGGACCTTTCAGTCCCCAGACCGACGCTCTACCACTGAGCCAAACCGGTTTCAGCTGCCATCTCTTTCTTAATGTTCTCCCAGAATCCTTAATCCTGGGAAAAGCGGAGCAAAATATGTCCAGAGGTTTCATAAACTTTTTTCCAACATTATCTACCAGCCATCAAAGGTAGATTAGGCCATGGCAGATGCGAGCTCCATGTCAATTCTCTCCATTCTCTTTTGCTCTCCATTTTTGTTGACCTAACAAAAGCTTCTGACATCACACTTAAAGCACCTCAAGATAAACCAGGGTAAGAAATCCCATTTACTTCCCTACTCAATTCAAAGCTATGTTTTATTTTAAAAGTAGTTGCATGTTCTGTTATGCACTGCAATAGATTGTGAACTGAAGGTTATAAAGAGCTAATAAATGTATGGACCTCTTAATGTGCAAAATCAAATAATTCCTAAAAGAGTTGTAATCTTTTATAAATAATCTTTGTTTCCTTAAATGCAAAAAGAAATTGAACACATTATTAAAGCCTATACTTAAAACAAAACACATAGAAGGTGGGAAGGTTATCGTTTTGAGATCTATCTTAGCTGGTTTCTGGATACTTTAAGTCGAGATTTAATCCCCTCCCCCCTATGCTTTCTCTGTCACATAAATGGTGGCCACAAGCCTTTCTGGTTATGTTTTATTGTTGAATTGGAAGAGTTCTTTTTTATTTTCTGGATATTAGACTCTTCCATGGGTTATCTTTTCATTTTCTTGATAATGTTCTTTTCCAATTTTTAAAATTTTGTATGAAAGCAAATTCATTATATTTACATGAAATGCTTCTTTTTTGTATTCCCATTCCTTCATGTGGTGTCTGTCTGTCTGTCTCCCTCTTTCTCTCTCTGCTTGACTTATTTCACTTAGCGTAATACTCTCTGAGTCCATCCATGTTATCTCAAATGATAAATTTCATTCTTTTTATATATGTGAATAATATTTAATTGCATCTTCTTTATCCACATCTTCTTTATCCATTCATCTATTGATGGACATGTAGGTTGCTTTCATATCTTGGCAATACTTGTAATACTGTAATAAATTAAGGGATGCATATATCTTTTTGAATAGGTGTTTTTGTTTCTTTGGCTAAATGCCCAGAAATGGAATTGATGGATCATACAGCAACTCTATTTTTAATTTTTTGAGGAAACACTATATTGTTTTCTACAGTGCTTGCACCAGTTTGTAATCCCACACACAACAGGGTATGACAGTTCCCTCTCTATATCATGCTAACACTTACTTGTTGGTTAATTGATGATAGCCATTCTGACAGGTGTGAGATGATACCTTGTGGTTTTAGTTTGCATTTTCCTGATGATAGTAATGCTGAGCATCTTTTCATTTGTTGGCCATCTGTGTGTCCTCTTGGGAGAAATGTCTATTGAGGTACACTTTACATTTTTTATTTGGATTGGATTTTTTTTAGTGTTAAATTATATGAGTTCCTTGTATATTTTGGATATTAACCCCTTATCTGATGTGTCATTGACAAATATTTTGTTCCATTCAGTAAGTTGTTTTTTCATTTCCTTCACTGTGCAAAAACATTGTAGTGTGATGAAGTCCTTTTTGTTTATTTAATCTTTTGTTTTCTTTGCTTGATGAGACATATAAAAAAAATGTTGCTATGAATGATGTCAGAGAGTTTACTGCCTATGTTTTTTTCTAGGAGTTTTAGTGGTTCAGGTCTTACATTAAAGTCCTTCACTTATTTTCTGTCTATTTTTTTATATGGTATAAGAAGGTGATCTAGTTTCTTTTTTGCATGTATTTGTTTAGTTTTCCCAAAGTTGCTTAATGAAGAGACTGTCTTTACCCCATTGAATATCGTTGCCTCTGTTATCATAGATTAATTGTTTATATAAGCAAGGATTTATTTCTAGGCTTTCTTTCCTAGTCCATTGATCTATATATCTGTTTTTATGCCAGTACCATGCTGTTCTGATTATTGTAGTGATGTAGTTTAGTTTGATATCAACGAGCATCATACTTCCCACTTGGTTCATTCTCAAAATTTCTTTGCCTACTCAGGGTCTGTTATGGTATCATATAAATTTTAGGATTAGTTATTCTAATTCTTAGAAGAAGAATACCACTTGTATTTTAATAGAGATTATAATGAATCTATATATTGCTTTAGACAGTAAAGACATTTTAACAATATTAATCCTTTCATTCCACAAGTGGGTACTGCCTTCCATTTATTTATATCTTCTTAGTGAAGGTTTGGAAGTGGTAAACTTAGTTTTTATGTGCCTAAACATGTATTTATTTTGTCCTTAAACTTGAATGATAGTTTAGCAAGGTATAAAAGTTGAGGTGTGTAGTTATTTGCCCTCAACATTTTGAAGATATAACTTCTTGATTCTGTTATTGCTCCAATGCCCCTATTATCATTCCTTTGTAATATTTTGCCATGTTATCTTAAGCTTTTTTCTCTTTCATGCTCTACAATTTTACTGTGATATGAAAAACTCTTGGCTATATTTCTTCAAATTAGTCTTACTACTATTTACTCATTTCTCCTGTTCAATTTCTTTTGAGAACCATTGATACCTCTTAATTGATCTTTCAGGTTCTTTGAACTGCTTGTTCATATTATTTGTGTCTGGGTCTCTGTGTTGTCTTCAGTTCAGTTCCTCAATTCTACCTTTTAATTCACTAATACTACATGAGATCTTTGATTAGTGCCAAGTCTAGAATGTATGCCACGTGTTGAGAGTTGCTTTTGTTTTAAATTTTAATGGTAATGTCTTTAATGTCTGCCATTTCTAAATTTTTATTATCAACTATTCTCATTCAATTTATGCCTATTTTGCTTCATAACAAGTATGGATATTAGTCCTTTATTTAAATTAGCCCATTTACTTAAAATATTTCCCAGGCAGTTTTATATCATTGATTTAATCTGGAAGGAATTTGTGTTCCTAATTGAAGAGTTCATAGACCATCTTAGTAAGATTGAAATTTCTTAGCATGAGATTTCTTCATGGGTGGTGGAATTTTTTCATTTCAGGTTCAGTTTGAGTAAGAAATTTTTTTGTTTTGTTTTGTTTTTCTCCTACTCTCTCTCTTGACTGTGGTTTCATTTACTTCCACCCCAGCCACCATCCAGGACCAGGCCTTATAATAAAGTAATTTATTGGGAAAATGTGTTTCAGTTCCTAGACTTGAGCCTGTGTCTTCTTTTCTTCCTAGACCATAAGCTGCTATAAGCCCTAGCCCAGTGGTGTGCTAGAGAAAGCTCCTACCCACTCACAAAAATCAATGATTAAATTTTAAGGAATCCTGTGAGCTGGGTGTTAAATAGCCATTTGTTTAAATTATACAAACTCACCATTAAGTAAATTATATTAAACAGTAAAGATAATAAATACTTAAAACTTAGCATTTTCTAATTATCTTGCCACACATTGCTAACATCCATGCTCTCAGGGTTGCAGCCTTTGTGTCCGTGTAGTGGAAACACGATAGCATGGTGCTCGAGGCTTCTCTTCCTGCTCCGGTTCAATAACATCACGTTGGTCATTTGAAAATGGCCATGATAAGAGTGTTCAAACCATGGAGATTAGGAAACATTACGAAGCAGGTCTTTTTTTGTTTATGTGCATGTGTGCAAAATACTTGTTTAATATACCAGCACAGCATTGCCCTGGCCCCAGGCATCGGGCCACAGGCAACAAAAGTTTTCTTCAGTCTCCTCCTGTAAACAGTTACTCCCGCCACCTCTATTTCAAACGGGGGTCAGGCTTCATTTCCTCCTCTCACAGAAATTGCTTTTAGTCTCGATATCTTACCATAAGAGCTTAACTCCCTGAAGCAAAGTAACCCCACTCATTGCTCTGCCTTCCTATTTTGTTTCTGGTCCATAGCATTATTCATCTATCCTTTGGTTTTCTTTTATATGTGCTATCCATCATTGCTTTAAGTTTGAGGTGGGAAGATGTACATTAAATATTGAACATGCTGTTCTATTTTGACTAGAACTCCATCGACATTATTTTTCATAGACATATAACTTCGATCGTATGGCTCTCATAATGCCCTCAAAAGATTTCCTTCAGCTTCCGTCATCTCTATCCGTCATTCACCTCTGTTCCTTGTCTGTTTTTCCCTAATACCTTCCTGGGCCAGTTATTAGGACAAATATGATAACATCTATAATAATAAAAGCAAAATATGCTAATTAGACCACATGGCCGGACGACCTTCGGATGAAGGTGGGGCTATGAGAGCCAATGCAAGCTGCCCCTGCTGCGAGGACCAAGCCCCATGCACGAATTTCATGCATTGGACCTCTAGATTTATGTATGAGTTATCCTTGAAGATTCTGGATGTCACGTATGCTGCCTCTTAATTATTATACGCTGAATAATAGTATGTGTGTAATATAATAATACTTTACGGTCCAAACAAGAAAACAGTGGAGCCCTCAATTACCTAAATGGAAATCCTTGGCCCCCTAATGTTTTTTCCCTTCCCTGCAGGTATCAAAGCTGTGTTCTCGGGCCACTACCACAGGAATGCCGGGGGTACCTACCAGAACATGGATGTCGTGGTGTCATCTGCCATCGGGTGCCAGCTGGGCAACGATACCCATGGGGTCCGAGTCGTGGTGGTCACCGCTGACAAGATCGTTCATCGGTACTACAGTTTGGACGAGCTGAGTGAGAGGGGAATAGAAGGTGACCTGATGGACTTAATGAAGGAAAAATGATTGCCGTTATGATCCAGTCACTTCCACTTCCACTGTCTTTTAATTTTGCCAGAAACAGCAGCCACATACAATCACTTCTGAATAAAGAAGTATCCAGGCAGATTTGTGAATTTATGCCCTTTGTATAAATCAGAGAGCTGGGTCCTATTCTCAATTATATTTTAAGAAAGAGAAGGGGCTGGATGAGGGTTGGGGCCTGGGAATAAGAGAATAAACGATTCTGGAATATCTCTGTGTGAGTGTTTGAATAAACTTTCCTAATGATGTGTTTCTCAACTATCTCAAATTCTCTGTTTTTGAATCAAATTGCTTTCTCGCAGGTATGGTGAGTGTCTATCTATGGACCTCAATCCCAACTGGTATCCAAGTGTAATCTTGGGTAATTCCTTGAACAAACTGCATCTGGTCAGTTAAATTGTAGTCATGGCTCCGATGCTTGGCAACAGGAAGGTCATCTCCTTTTCCTCCTAACAAAGCAGACAGCTCTCCTCCTACCAGAGCTGTGTAGGCACACTCACTTCAACACGGAGCTGTCAGAGGCCGAGGCCTCTGCTGGTGATGCAGCTGGTGCAAGTCAGAGCTGAGTTTGCCTTCTTGGTGACTAGGAAAGCCACCTTTTCACATAAATTGGCCATCTATAAAAGTCTCATCCAAGAGGCGAGGACCGGAGCCCTAAAGTTGCCTGGCGCACATTCTGAGTTTGTTCCGTTCACGCTGGATGCTGCAGGAACTCCACAGGTTGCTGTCCGATGCCATCAGAATGACTCTCCATTCCTGAGACTCTTCACCGTGTTGACTTTGACAGGAAAAGTGGGAAATGAGACGAGAGTTCTTGAATCAAAGCAGAAATTTCGGTGGGGCAAAAACTACTTTCAGCCACTTTAGTGGAACTGGCGCCGACTTTGACTCTGCCCCAGTGCAGGGGAGCGAGGATGGTGAAATCGGCTTTGTTTCCATGTGGTCTGCGTTGCTGCGTCTTCTCCCCAACTCCTGACACTGTGTTATTTCATCCACGGGGTCTGCTTCTGCAGACGTCCTGATGGGCAGGGAATGTGGGCATTCCAGTCCTGCCAGGAACACCTCACAGCATCGCTCGCTCATCCTGAAATGCTTCCAACTGCCTGCTTACAAATGAACTGCAAAACCTATTAAGACTGCCTCGTTAAAAAGTTTTAGTCAACGTAGCAAAGCCATGAGAAAGTAAATAGAAAGATAATTGGATATGTAAATTCATAAGGAACAAAAGACAAGAAGTTAATTATACTATAGATCGGTGACACACTATAGCTCATTGTTATGTGGCACAGGAAAATTAAAAATGTTCAAGATTAGAATGCCCTTGTTTGGGGATTTTGCTACATTCTTGCTTTGTATTTTTTTTTTTTTTTTTTTTTTTTTTTTTTTTACAACAGGTGTGGAGATGAGTTCAGGAAAAGGAAACTCAGTAAGTGGTATAACTAACAGCCACACATGTGGGCGTGGGAGGCGGTAACACTGAGGATTAGCTACCAGGATCCTGTGCCCGGACCATAAACGCAGGCGTGGGCTCCTGGAAGGGCAGAGGTTAAGCACAGTGGGCTGACCCAGCCGTCTCTGTGGTGTCAGGGTGCAAACGCTCTGAACTGTGGCACCGGAGTTTTGGTGGAGGATACGGAGATAATTAAAAGCAACGGAAATTAAATTTACTAAGCCTCCTTCCCAAAAACCTAGTAAGTAAAAGAACTGATTCAAAACACAGCAAGAATATGCTAACAATAGGGAATCCTGTGAAACTCTCACCATTTTTAAAGTAACCAAACAGCAATATTCTCATGGTGAGAGGTTCAGGAAGAAGTGAGGAAGTGATTTTGTAAATAAACATGTATCATTCTGATAATAAGTACCAATGCATTCCTTTTTATTCCTTTTTCTTAAAAAAAAAAAAAAAAAAAAAAAAAAAAGGTAAACAAGTGCCTTCAACTGTGAAAAACAAGAAAGTACTCATGATCATCAGTGCTATGGTGTTGGGGTGTTTATTCTGTTCTAAATGCTGTTTGAAGTGCTTTGGTTCAGAGAGGCGGTGCCACTTGGCCAAGGTCATACAGCTCTTCCTTGGGATAGGATGGACCAAAAAGCTAGCAGCCCAACTGCTAAGCCTGTGCTCCTGGAAAATGTTTTTAATGATGACAGTGGCTCAGTGGGTTGGGCATCGTTCCATGTACCAAGAGGTCACCAGTTCAATTCATGGTCGGGCACGTGCCCAGGTTTCCAGCTCAGCCCCAAGTGGGGATCATACAGGCGGCTGCTGATTGATGTTTCTCTATCTGTATCTCCCTTCCTCACTCTGTAGAATCAATATTTTTTAAATATACCAGAATTGCCCTTGGTAATACTACAATATTTGGCACCTTTGACCATCTCTCCTGGGCAAGAACCCAGTGTTAGCTGGAGGACCTGGGACTTCATCCGGGGTTCACAGAGCCCCTTCACTGAATTGCATCAGGTTCGTGGTGGCATAGCCTGCCCCAGGAGCAGATTGTTCCAGATGAAGAGTTTTCACTGGAAGAGATGGGAAAACAGAATCCTATATAATAAAAGGCCAATATGCAAATTGACTGAATGCAGAGCAACCAGTTGCTATGACACGCACTGATCACCAGGGGGCAGATGCTCAATGTAGGAGCTGCCCCCTGGTGGTCAGTGTGCTCCCACAGGGGGAATGCCACTCAGCCAGAAGCCAAGCTCTTGGCTGGCCAGCTCAGTGGCGGTAATGGGAACCTCTCTTGCCTCCACAGGACATCCCCAAGGGCTCCTGGACTGCAAGAGGGCACAGGCCAGGCCGAGCGCCGCCCCCCACTCTCGAATGTACGAATTTCGTGCATTGGGCCTCTAGTTGAACTATAATAGGCCACAGGACACAGCTCTGCCCACAGTGGTAAATGCTATCAGATGACTCCTCACTTCCTGTTTACTGTTCCTGCCCCAAGGGTAGGGAAGTTGGCATTCTCCAAGGAAGGAGTGCCACTGAATGCTCCCCCTCCCAATTAGTCATTGTAATTGGGGGGGGAGACAGGAGGCTGCCACAGGGGAAGGTCATTTAAAGTGACTTAAAATTGGGTGGCCAAGACTCTTTGCAGGCCCAGTGGGGAGATGATCATCTAACTGCTTCACTTTTTACAATACGTTTATCGCTAGTCTTCAGTGATGTTTCTCCCGAGGTTGGAAAATGGGTGGGGTGGGGTGAATTCAGTAAACTTTATGGAACAAGTAGACAGAACATTTCATCATAGCTTGTGCTTTTCAGCATCACGAGATTCTAAAAAAAAAAAAAAAAAAAAGGATGATAAACAAGTGCCCTCTACTGTGAAAAACAAGAAAACACGGTCACGCGGTCATCAGTGCTAAGTTTTTGGGGTGTTTATTCTGTTCTAAATGCTGTTTGAAGTGCTTATCAGTAGAAACTATATATACATAATATAGTTTGATGTTATAGTCTATATTCTAACATGAAATCTTTGGAGAAAAGATAGCAAAACATCATTTGCATTTACTTGAACTCTTAAAACTTATTCCCCAAGTAGTGCCTACAAGAGCTATGTGAGTCATGAAGTGAAGTGGCAATATTGTATTAAGCTGGGAGAGATGATTAGGAATAAGTTGTCAAGGCAAGTTCTGTTAAAAGCTTTGTGTAATAGACACCAGGGATTTCTTATTCTCTCATCACAGTGGGCACTCAGTAAATGGCGTCCCCATAGCATGGCTGTCATCCAGGTCCCTGAGCCGTTGCTGCAGCCTCCGAACCAGTCTCCCTGCCTCTTTTGTTTCCCCACATCCAAGCCAGGGAAGGAGAGAGGAGGAAAAGTTGTTGTCTGAGACTGAGTCCCAGTCTGTCGCTCAATAACTCTGTGGCCTTGGGCAGGTACAATATAGTACCTTCCCTAAGGTTTAAATGAGCTCCTTCCCCTCTCTCTCTCTCTCTCTCTCTCTCTCTCTCTCTCTCTCTCTCTCTCCTCTTCTCTTTCTTCTTTCTTTCTTTCTTTCTTTCTTTCTTTCTTTCTTTCTTTCTTTCTTTCTTTCTTTCTTTCTTATTGATTTCAGAACAGAAGGGAGAGTGGAAGAGAAGTAGAAGCATCAATGATGAGAGAGAAGCATCCCCTACTGGGGATTGAGTCTGCAACCCGGGCATGTGCACAGTCCACAGGCTGACGCTCTATCCACTGAGCCAAACCTGCTAGAGCTGAGCTTATTTCTTAGTGCACTGGCATAGTGTTCGGTGCAGATTATGCACACGATAAGTAATAATGATGCTGATTGTCATCAAACATGACACGTTTGATTTTTCACAAACTACCCCTGCCCCCCGGAATCCCTGTGGTACCTCACAAGGGGCTCACTATTTCCCGACAACTATTCTCATGTTTGAGTCTTCCACGTTGGCTCCTTAAGAAGATTTATATTCCTGAATTCCTAAGATACGATTGTTAGTGGTAATTACCAAAGGCCCTGAGAATGGCCATGGCAACCAGGAAAGGGGCAAGAGAAGGGGGGTGCAATGACCAGCAAGCAGCAGTCAGTATTTTTATAATTCAGCCTCGAAAGGAAAAAAGCAGCTGTTCTGGATCCGTACAGGAGAGGACTGCCGAGCCACAGGGAAGCCAGCTACATGTCCAGTCACTCTCCTAAGTGCTTCCCCTACGAAAGCGACCCAACCAAGTAAGTACTGTTACTGTCCCCATTTCACAGATGAGGACACTGAGGCACAGAGACATTGAGGAACTTGCCCAAGATCACACAGCTTGCAAGTAGCAGAGCTGGGATTCAAACCCAGGCTGTGTGGCTCTACCTCTTACACTGCAGAGGTAGCCTGCCAGGGCCTGGCCCCAGGGCAAGCCCGCAGCCGCCTGCAGCAGAGGGGGTGGGAGCAACACACATGTCCCCTTAGCTGCTCAGGGTGGGCCGTGTTACCAACCAGGGTCCCAGTGTGTCTTCCGTCCAACATGGAGGTCCCTCTGCTCACCTCG